GGGGGGGGGGGCGGCTACACCTGAAGGCTATCTCGCTTATTACTAGACCAAATTTTACCAAATCTCAAACATAATACTAGCACAGTAAGGAGTGTTGGAATCCGCAATCAAATTCGAGAAAAAAAAGTTTTGTTTCCATGGATACGGCTGCCATTGGATTTTGTTGACATGTCTTACATAATGACTATCGCTCTTATTGCTCTTGGAAATTGATTGGTTTTTTTATTCATGCGTGTCATCAAATATTAGATCTAAATATTTGTCTGTTGTTTTTTTTTCCTAAACGAATTAGAAATTTTTAAAGGAATTTTTTTCCTGAGGTAACATTCCACAGGGGAAAATCCGCACTCTAGACACGACCAACAATTATATATCTCAAATATCAAAATAAATTCAAGATAAATTTTAGCATTATATCTTCTCTTCATTTTGTGAAAATTTCATGAAGATTGGATGACAAATGGTGGAGTTATTGAAAAAAAGTATAGAGAAAAGTTGCGTTTTGAGAAAATGGCCTACAAAGAAATATAAAATATTGACTTTATGAGGAAATGGTGGTGACGAACTTGCCTGGTATGGGAAAAATGCGGGGTTTTTTTGGTTGTTTCTTTGCGATGAAATAGTTGTAGGAGGCGCTGAAGAAGCTTAAAATACCTACAGTTCAAATTCTATAATTTTGAGCCGAAATTGGGACTTTGGGGTGTAGCCCCCCCCCCCCACCCCTTAAACACGGACACGTCCCGCCTGTGTTCTCACTGTACTCAACAAACACATCAACAGCACCAGACCTCTCGGCCACACTGCCAGGTTCCGCGTGGGTTCTGACTGTGTCCGAAACAATAAATCTCCCCTCCACACTGCATGTCCCGCACGCCCCCTTTCCGCGCAAATTGTAAGATCACGCAGTGGCAGATACGTACCTCTAAAAACAAAGAAAGAAAGATATAAGAGAAGTTTATTTTTACCATCTACAGACTTCAATATAAGTTGACTGAAATATAGACAGCAAGAAATGTTTCAAAAGTTTTTGCTCTGAAATTGTTAATGGGTTACCAATGCGTACTGCAAAGCTTCCTAAAGGGGCAAAACCACCACGTGCAGCACCGAAATCCTCGGGGAATTTGAGTCAAATTTGCTGTTCTTTATCGACTTGTGTGCAACACCACGGACATTGTTTGGTTAAAGAATAAACTCTCCTTGCCTTTTTAAAGAAACTGAAACAGGGTGCAAAACCTTTACCTTCGATTTTCTCAAAACAGAATTTTTCGAATTTGTGCTTAAAAGAGACTAATTATCTGAGTGCGTGTATTGAGAAGCGTCAAAATTGATAGAATGGACATACATTGCATAATACCAACATCATTTATTGAGAATTTTTCTCTGCAATAAATAATATTTCATTACGATATTTTATTACTATAGTTTTAACCCCTTCGTTGCTAATGCGTATCCTCCAATATTTGTACAGACAAGATAAAAAGTTCATTAAAAAGACAGGGCTATAGTATATAATTTCATCTTATTTAGTAAAAGAGAACCTCACAATCGCAATGACATCTCTTTGCATTTGCCTGTAAACTGGTAAACAAATAATTATGGGAAGAGAACCAGTTTTGGAGAATACAAACCATTACGTCTGCACAGCAGTGAAGAGGCTAAACAAACGGACAACAGGGCAATCACAAACACCGCACAGAACATGGACTTCACAATAATACATGTGCTAATTCTTGTTTTTCCTGAGGAGCTATCAGTTTTGTGTAGTGAACGAACCCTTTGGGCATTGACTCTATTAAATTTTTGACCTAATTATCTGTCATTTCATCCCAAATATCGCAGAGAGTTGCGAACAAACCGTCTGAATTGGGAGCAAAGTCGCTTCTTTTCAGTTTGTGTTTCCTGTGACTTCACATTCATGTTGGGGCTATTTATTGGTGACCAATCCAACGTTGATTTAATTTGGTTTTCCTAGAAATGTTTAGAGGTAATGGCCCTTTGAGAAAGTTCTTTGCTATACATGGAGTTGTCAGCCTAAATGACACCATGACGAAAATAAGGGTAAAACATGACGTTCCAGTACTTACGAAATGTAGTCCAACTCAAAATGATTCTCATGAGAGCAGTTTTATTCATTCCACTCCTGACAACCCAAAACCATGGCAGTTTTGTGACCTCTGTTCCTCAGTGACGCGCACGCTGCACACACACACGTTTACGTTTCTTTGATTTCTCACAACTTTGACAAGCCTCATTTTTTAAGGTCAGTTTTGACGGACCATATCTTGGTCGTCTCTAAATATGATATATTAAATTGGCCAGATGATGCAGAGTTTGTTTAGCCTTAAATTGGTATGCTGCATGAGTGGGTAGTGCTAGACTATAACATGATGATTGGGTGATTACATTTCTAAGTTTCCTTTAGGCGCCACTATATTATATAATTTAAACTTTTATGTTTACCTGCAGGTGTTTTACGGTCCTGTACAGCCAAGAATAATTTCCCTCTGGGTCAATAAGGTATAATCTTGCCTTGTCTGATCTGATCTTATCTTATCTTATCTTACAGCCAAGAAAATTTTCCCTCTGGGAAGTATTATCTTATCTCATGTACTATACCCAAGTTGAGCATCCCTGGGCCAAACAAGAGACAAGAGGCAAGATAAGAGACAAGAGACAAGAGACAAGAGACAAGAAATGAAAGACAAGAGACAAGAGACAAGAGACAAGAGACAAGAGACAAGAGACAAGAAATAAGAGACGAGAGACAAGACAAGAGACAAGACAAGAGACAAGACAAGAGACAAGACAAGAGACAAGAGACGAGAGAAGAGACAAGAGACAAGACAAGAGACAAGAGACAAGAGACAAGAGACAAGAGACAAGAGACAAGAAATAAGAGACGAGAGACAAGACAAGAGACAAGACAAGAGACAAGACAAGAGACAAGACAAGAGACAAGAGACGAGAGAAGAGACAAGAGACAAGACAAGAGACAAGAGACAAGAGACAAGAGACAAGAGACAAGAGAC